GTGGGCCATAAAAACCTATGCATTGCAGTGGGGGTGGGTCAACAAGTAAAACATGTATTAATCTGATCATAAAAGAAGTGTAGTATTGACAGTAAAATTCAATTATATATCTATCCACTTATCCTCTTTTTGATGACCAAGGTGCTGATTCAGTCAGTTAACTCTTTAAAATCTTATTTTTAGGTACAGCTTACTTACTACTTAACCAGCAATGTTAATTTCATTCACCTGTTCCAGATTCTCTTTCTTTGTTCCTTTCTATTTGTTTACCTTTAAGAGAGCTTGTCTCTATAGGAAATAGAGAGAAAAATTATGTCCTTTTATCAGTAAAAAGTCAACAACTTACTAACTATAAATATAATAGTAGTCATTAATATAGTAACATGCAGTTGTAATGTTTACTTTATGTTTTATCTTCCTTCCCTTTTTTTTTAACATACCAATTCACAATACAAAGCCAACGCTGCTTTGACCCCCCTCCAATTCTACTGAGTTTGCCATTTGTTGCCAAGGGCAGCAATAACTATTAATCTCTGAAGAATTACCTCTGTTCCATTTTAAAATGTCACGGAGAGTCAAATTTTAAGCGAATACAAATGTTTGTTTTGGAGTTGTCAGTCTGCTTGTTTTTTTCTGTAATGGTATGTGTAAATCGGTTTTTCTTCCACCTAAAAACTGAAGTCGATCAGACTCTTTCCAGCTAAACAAAAAATAATTTAATGCGACTTATATTCATGGAATTCCTTTGGCTACTGTTGTGAAATTTACGGTAGTAATGTCCAAATTCAAGGGACATTGCAAAGAATAGGCAAAAGTGTATTTATAGAAGAACTCAAAACTTCGCTCAACGTTTCACAAACGAAGAATTCAGATATTAGCCATTGAGAGTCATATTGATTAACGTAATGGTTAACTGCAACTACCTCTCATTTTAACTTTCTGAGTGACTTTTTGGGAAGGGGAAGGATTATTGAATTACAAATTGTTTCTAGGCCGCGTTTCAATCTTTTTAGAAACAAATTTAGTACCACAGAATTTATTTCGAAATCAATTTTTGTGGAAAAACCAAAGTGATTTGAGCCGGTAAGAGAGAAAAAAGAATCGCTATTGTTTATCGCCAAAAGTTCGTGACCGAAGTCTTAGCTTAAATATTCTGTCCAGCCGGCAAAACGAGATATATTTGTGAAAAATTGCAACGAAGCTTGAGATGTTCTGCAAATTGACTCAAGCAAAAGGGATATCGCCCGCTGTGAGCGGGCCGGATGGGGAGAATACTGCCCGCTCTCGGAACCAATCACATTGCATGATTTGTGGAATACCGCCTGCTCATAAAGTGAGCAAAAAATAAATAATATTATTATATGGCTGTGTCTCACAAGGACTGGGAACTACCCAATTCACAAATTTGATTTGCTAAAATCAATATTTAAAGCGGTGTAGATTTTTTCACCTAGACCGGCATCTAGACCGCTCAAGAAAAAAAAGGTACAAAGAATATAAAAAATTGGCATATAAGACACAACTATAAAATAAACATCTTATTAACTGAGCTTGGTCGGTCTGTATGGGAGAATCTTGACCTCGGTCGCTAGTACAGACCTCACTGCTTCAGTCTGTACTGGCGAACTTGGTCAAGATTCTCCCATACAGACCTCCCGCTCAGTTAGTAAGAACTAAATAACAATAATATACCGTTTATTTGCCACACTGCAGAATTAAATGAATGAAAGAGCTAATATACAATCAATAATTAACGAAAACTACAATTAAACAACAACAAACATATGAAACATATGTGTGAACTGCGGTTATGAGACGTATATGAGAACGATCCTTCGCAGTAAAGCACTATTTGAGCAATAGTGAAAATCAGACCTGAAAAAAATTTCAGGCCTGTACGGGATTCGAACCACTGACCTCTGCGATACTAGTGCAGCGCTCTACCAATTGAGCTAACAAGCCAACTGGGAGCAGGCCATCAAATTAATTCGATATAAACCCGTAGATGATAAATCAAACAACAACAAACATATGAAACATATGTGTGAACTGCGGTTATGAGACGTATATGAGAACGATCCTTCGCAGTAAAGCACTATTTGAGCAATAGTGAAAATCAGACCTGAAAAAAATTTCAGGCCTGTACGGGACTCGAACCACTGACCTCTGCGATACTAGTGCAGCGCTCTACCAATTGAGCTAACAAGCCAACTGGGAGCAGGCCATCAAATTAATTCGATATAAACCCGTAGATGATAAATCAAACAACAACAAACATATGAAACATATGTGTGAACTGCGGTTATGAGACGTATATGAGAACGATCCTTCGCAGTAAAGCACTATTTGAGCAATAGTGAAAATCAGACCTGAAAAAAATTTCAGGCCTGTACGGGATTCGAACCACTGACCTCTGCGATACTAGTGCAGCGCTCTACCAATTGAGCTAACAAGCCAACTGGGAGCAGGCCATCAAATTAATTCGATATAAACCCGTAGATGATAAATCAAACAACAACAAACATATGAAACATATGTNGATTAATTAAGAGATGATACAACCCTTGCTTTAAGACTTAAATTACATGTATCTCACCTACAATCAGAGGATACTAAGTATGCTACACAATCTCTGCCATTTAAAACCCTATTTTTCAGCAATGAAACAAATTTAGAGTGTAACCTACAATCATGTAACAGTTACATACATCCACCTGGTGTAGACTCCCTCTGTTCATTTCTTTCTGTTTTTCCAACTTCTAAGCTGCTGTGTGGAACATAGTCTATGGACAGGGGAGAGAAATATCAGATAAGCTAATACTACAGCCAGAAAAAAAGAGGTTCCCACAAACACAAATATCACAAAGGAAACTGTGAATAAGTTGTGGGTACATTGCGTTTGAGTGAGTTTTGAAGATAATTAAATTCCTAGAGGTGACTCCCGGATACAGTTGAAACTATTTAGTATTACTTTGAACTGCTGGGGTGATGTTGGGTGAGTGGTCAGAGTTCACATTTTAGCTATCAGTCAGTACAAAATACAGACCGCAAACTGGGTGTGAAATGCAGACTAGGTACAAAATGCAGACTGCAGACTGCAGATTGGGTAAAGACATGATAACATATGTCATCTTACAACTTATTGAGTATCACACAATCGCCTTTTAACAATCACTTTCATGACCATTTGCACAATTTCGGAATATTGCTTGTCTGTTCCTTCCGATATTTCGTTTTTAACTAAGTAGCCATGACTGAATTCTGTTTTCAAAACAGCCGCCACCATTGTTCTCAAATAGAATTTCAATTATGCCATCATATATTAAACAAAAAAAAGCTTAAACTGCATACAGCTTTCTCTACAAGCAGACGCAAATCAAATAAATATAACAGCACAATAATTAACAGTTAGAATGTATAAGTAGCACTTTTGATTAATATTAATTTTAACAATGTGTTATCTTTGTAAACTAAAACATTTCTTTGTAAACTAAAACATTTCTTTCACAAGTGATCTGACTATTTGCTTCTCTTGTTTTGTTTAGTTTTTAAATATAGTAAGGACAACAATAAGCATCTCTAGTTACCAAAAACAAAATGAGCTGACATTTCCTGATCACATAACACAGTTAAATGCACTTGAAGGTGAAATAAATGTTTCCATTACAGGGGCATAAATCTTTCATGTATGATTCAGTCACAGTGCAAAAATTTTTCAACTGAGAGATACTATGGAAATGATTTAAAAAAACACAAATTTAGTTCCATTAACCTGTGATTCCTGTCTCCTTAGGAATGGGACTGGGAGCCAATTGCAGAATCATCTGCTCGAACTTTTCACTTTCTTCCTTCCAGTTGTACTTCTTCCGATAATTCTCTCGCAGATGTACAGCTGAGGCACGTCTCTGATCTGGTGTTTGTTTTGATAGCTCTTGGATTCAGTTTGCCCATTCCTCTGGTGAAACTGAGGAGATGATGACAACCATTCCACCATCCACAGTTTGGAGGGCTTCGGTAATCCCACATTTGCTGGAGACCAGCAGAGGCACACCAGCTGATATGGCCTCCAGGGCCACCAGCCCAAAGCCCTCCGTGCGGAATGGCATCACAACTGCATCCGCTTCACGGAACATCTCTTTTGTTTCTTCGTAATTACAAAAGCCTCTGATGGTGAGTTGATTACGTGTTATTTTCATTTCCTCCAGGAACCACTTTTCTATCCTCCGTTGTTCATCTTGTGCTGCACCTACAAAAGTGAGCTCGAATTTTCGTTCAAGCAAAGCCACAGCCTTTCCAATGATATCGTACCCTTTCAGTTCAAAGTCCTCAAAGCTTCCGTGACTGAACTTGAATATTTGAAACTGCTTTTCTCCTGATGATTTAAGTTTCTTCGATTACCTTTCTGTTGGATTGAGAAACTTTTCGAAAATCCCTGGAGTGATGTCTTCTACTTCGATATCGAAAAGTTTTCTTTGATATTTTCTCTGCAGCAGAGTTCCCACAGCAACAACTAAATCAGATGCTTTGCATAGTTCTAGTTCTTGTCTGTTCTTTTTCTCGTTGTCTGCAATCGCATCAGCTGTAACGCTGCATTCTAACTTGTATTTGCCGAGGTCTTCGCAGAACACATGCACAAAATGTATCCACTTACACCTTGTCATTTCTCGAATAAAATAAGCCGCACCACCAAACTTTCTACCGTGGCCGACGACGATGTCTGGATTAGGAAGCTCTGATGGCGGTATTTTGATCCATTCTAGTAGATCACTGGACCCTGGAGGGCGCCGAGCTGTGATTAAATGGATTCCATTCCGGCTTGCCTCTCGTCTTTCTTCTTCTGTGCTTTGGCAGACATAGGAATGAACCCTGATTCTGGCTTTCAAATACTTCGCCAGATTCACAGCAAGTTCCCTGTTAAACGTTGATAATCCACCTTTCGAGGAGCCCCACTCGCTACAGATGAACATGACATCAATACACTCATCCACAACTGCATCTGCGCCATAAGAAGCCCCGCTCGTGAGGTCTTTACTCTTCCCTTTATCTTTCACAGAATTTTCATCAACTGCATTCGAAGATCCTCTTTCCATCGCAAAGCTTTTCTTATAGACGAATGTAACATGCGGGAAAGAACAGTCACTTTTACACCCTCTGGATAANGGTTTTACTGTTATACCAGCTGATTCATTTTGTCCTATCCTATACCCCTCAGATTTTTGTTCTCCTATTACACTTCAAGAGACTAATTGGGCTGTAGACATTGAAAATGAAATGTGCATGTACAGTACTTAGGCCATATTTATAATATTTTCAAGAACACCGAAACAAAACAAGTTGGTTAACTCTGATGTACCTGCTGATTCCACACCTTCGTTGCTCCCATCTATTTTTTCTTTCCTCTTATCTGAAGTCCCTGGAATAAATAAAAACAAATTATGGAAAGCAGTCACATATTACAATTCTTTTTATAGCTTAAGAAAGAACGCATCAACATTTGAACATATATTTATTGCCTGCATGCAATTCTTTCTTCCTTGTCTGTTTGTTCTGCTCTTTTATCTGAATTGTCTGAATCAGCACGCAATGAAAATAAAACTTGTGCATGCACCCAGTCACAAACATGCATGGGAAGCCAACAATATTCCCAGGGAACATTTGATGGAACAACATATAAAATTAAAGATATCACACTCACATGCCCCCTCCGATCCCCCCTTCACTTTCCTACTTAAAATTGTTTGGTCCCCAGACAAAAAGACATTGATCATAATTCATTTAGTCATCACTGAAGTGGCCAAGATGAGGAAGAAGAAACTTAACACTTTTCTCAGTACTAATTAATATTACATACATTAGCAATTGATGAGCATTTCTCATATCTGGGTATATGCACATTTGCATTCTTACCTGTAAGTGACATTGCTGCTGTA